ATTTTGATCGTGCCTGCCGAGGTTTTATGGACCTGCGCGTGTCATAGGAGGGGGGGCGACCATATATATATATATACATGTATGTGTAGGTAGGTAGGTAGGTAGGTAGGTAGGTAGATGGGTATGTATGTATGTATGTATGTATGTATACATTGTATGCACACGTATTGCATGCACACACACACACATATATATATATGCATATATGCAAACACGCAAAGTTAAAAATAGCTAGATAAATAAATATGGACCCCCCCCGCAATGTACCCACACCTCTCTTCTAAATCTCAGCTTTCGGAAGGCGTGGGTCCTTGGGATACCCTTGTCCCCAAGCCTTTCTCCTAAGTGTCGGCTTCTTTGGACGGTCCTGTAGATTGCAACTTTCTTCCTTCAGGTCTTTGACAGATTCCCTTCAAATCAGTCCCGAATCATTTCCGATTCATGTTGGGCCCGAATCAACATGAATCGGAAATTATTCGGGTGATTGCTGGATCCAAGATTGCCCGCGCAAGATCTCTGGGAAATCTTGTACCTTGGATCTTGGATCCGGGCCCGAATCAACATGAATTGGACATGATTCGGATGATGGTTGGATCCGGGCCGGAATCAACATGAATCGGAAATGATTCGGATGATTCGGGTGATCGCCCGCGCAAGACTCTGGGCAATCCTGCATCTTGGATCCGGGCCCGAATCAAAACTAATCGCAAATGATTCGGATGATTTGGGGTTCCCGGCCCAAGATCAATTTAAATGCATGTTGAATCCGTTGGAAAACGGACCGCTGCGCATTGACAATTGCATTTTGTATTTCGAGCTTGTCGCTCTGTGAAAGTCGACATTTTGTGCTCTATAGATATCGCGCACGCATGACGGGAACTTATCACTGGTAATGCTGTTTTTTTGGGGGTGGGCGGGTTCTGCTTTGTTGGTATTGTAATTTCTAAAGATTGCTAAATTGCTGTCGCTGCTGATGCAGCATGCCTATGCTTGGCTTGTGCCGGACCAGCGGCGTTGTACAACTAGGGCGATCAGGTCTCATCTTGATGGAGATTTTTACTCGCCATGTGACAAGTCTTAAAATTGGACGAAATTCAGTCGGTCTAATCACTAGTTCGATAGTTTAGCGGGTTGATTGGATTGACTACGAAGTTGCTGTTGGGCAGACGTATGTAATGTAGCGATGTGATTGAACATGCATGTTAATCCTTGTGCTTGCGTTCTGTAACTAGAAATTAACCTCTGCTTAAAGACACTACTAAGAGAACAACTTCATTGATTGTCTTCGTCTGGCCATCATGTATGAAACAATACTCTTTGTCTACAATTGAAGACTTTGCTACGGGAAACTCGTGTTCTCAAGAAAGTGTGCTGGCTTAACTTAAGCATGTCTAAAGGGTCAATGTATAACATGCTTACTTATGTTGCTTTATGTTTGCACTGGGGGCTGTCTTTAATTGCTGTGTTTCATTTTTGTATGGCTTTACCTGCTGCTAACAGTAAGAGACCTAGCCTGTAAAATATCAGCAACTCACGGCCAAATTCCAACATGCAGGAGTGTCTAGTGCTATTTTTAGATGCGGAAAAAGGACATGACCTAAATGATGCACAGGCTTAAGATGAAGTAAACTCAGAGCAAACATGTAGAACTATCAGCTGATATAAAACAAGCAAGGGGAGGTACAGTCTGTGAAACTACATTTGATGCTGGCATAGAAGAACCGATTTTGGAAGTACTTCAATGATTAATGAATGTCAGATATGACCAAGAATGGAAGTGGAGATTGGAAAGGTTTGTAGGGACACGACCATCCCGTAGGATTCAGGCACACAGCGTGGGTACATGAGGGGGGGGGGGGTAGCATGCGTATATATATATATGTGTATATGTGTGTGTATGATCAGATCTGTATCTATATATCTCTATATATATATGTATTTATGTGTGTGCGTGCGTGAGTATGTCGATAGAAGTCTTCGAAGCGCCTTGGAGACTGTTGGGCCAAGGCGTGTCCAGCATCTTATCGACTTGTTGACGCCCCAGAACCTCATTCTGACTTACATCCCGTCTACAAAAGGCAATGCCAGCTTTCCAGAAGGCTCACAGGTCTTCAAGGACCGGAACCTGAAGCTTCAATACGACGCTCGGCGGACATTCCAGTGTGCTGAAGCCGCCAAGCATGAAATCGCACGCCGAAGCTGAAGACCCAAGGCTGTGATGCCCTTGCTACATCGCATGCCCGAAGCCGTCAAGATGTGGTCAAACTGGCTTTCGAAGGGCCCACCCTCGGGGGGCCCTGAGCTTCCAGGCGCCATCAAGCACATTCCGAAGGACGGGTCGGGAAGCTCCGCTTGCCGAAGCTTTGGCACTCGGCCATCCGCACAGGCAAGTGCTGTCCATGGCACGCTTGCAACAGGCTCTTGACACGACCAATATGGTGGCAAAAGCTCCGACGTCAGCCTCCTCACCGGAGGCAAGAATGAACTCTCGTGTTGCGGTTGAAGTCTTGCGACGCGTGCCTGGATCGTCTAGTAGGGTTGATGCCACCACAACGAGGGGCTTTTGTGCCAGGCAGTCGCCAGCATGACTTTTGGTGCCCCGCCGACCCTACTGGACGACCTCTCGACGTCCACATTGGAAGTCCAATCACAGAAGGCACATGCCGAGCGGACGGTAGTCAGTATACGCAGAAGGGCATGAGGAGCATTCGGATGAAGCTTTGCGGGCGAGACACTTGGGACCAGAGACATGCGCACATGTGGACAGGTTTGGTATCGGAGCGGCTGGAAGACCACATCACCAAAGGCTCCGAAGGGCTGGAAAGAAAGCACATGCACGCATCGCCAAGAGCCCACATGTGCTGTGGTGTCTGGAAGGTCTCCATCGACCTGACACTGCGACGTTACAGGTCAGCGCAGGAACAGGAAGCATCAGCAACCTGGCATATGATGAGCCAGCTGAGCGGCCTCCGATGCTACCACGCTAGAGGATGTAAGAGGTCATCACCGTGCCACATGTCCGCACCTGCACTGCCAAGCTGCAAGCCCGAAAAATTTGAATGCTGGAAGGGTACCTGCGGAGTGGTTTGTTCCAGGTGCTATGTAGTTCAGGTTTAGTGGCCTGCTGTGGAGCTTAGTCAGAATGTCGAATGCCAGCGTGTCAGGCAGCCGACCAGCTGCGGCTGCTTGTTTTCGAGAGGCAGAGTTTTCAAGTTTGATGACGTTCAGCTGACATGTGAAACGAAATGCCCTTGGCCCGCCCGCAGGCTCTTCGTTCGGCAGGTTACTCCGCTCCTGGCAGATTTGGAAGCCACAGATCAAAAAGCCACGCCACTTGGTCTTGAATTATGTCTGTCTCGGAGCGGGGATCACGGAAGTCGTGCGCGTGCCATGTGGTAGGCAAGACTGTGAGGATGTCAGTGGACGAGGGTGGCCTGCAGCTGTCCTTCGAAGCATTCGCGCCAGTCCTCCCCAGTCTCATCGACAAGTGGCTCGGACAAGCTTGGCGATTGGAAACGTGTAGCACCGCAACCACCACCACCGCGACCGCCGTTTACCGCTACAGAAGAGACAGCTGTGTCGTATACGAGTGAGCCGGAACTTACCTCGCTGTACGACTTTGTCGTGTTTTTGTTTGGCGACTGGTCTTGCATTCTTTTGACTTGACGTTGATTGGAGTGGTTTCATGTGTGGGTTTCCCTTCAGGTACTTGAAGGAGATAATTTCCATTGGCAAACAAGCTGTAAAGCCATCGTTTCAACCGAAGATACGGCCGTGGGCTTGGGAAACGTCTTAGCAAGGCGGCATGAGTAACTTCTGCATCGAAGATTGCAGGAGCGCAGCGGTCTCTGCCGTCACAGCAATTTACACACTGCTGCATGGAAATTCTTGTTCGAGCGATGAAAAGCGTCTTATCATTTCTGAGCGTAACATTACCTGTGCCAGGGCGAGTCGAACAGTTGTTCGCCGGAATTTCGAGACAGCTGGATAGGGCTGAAGGCTTGAATCATGACTTCCACTCAACGCAACTTCGACCCATGTCAAAGAGCTTTGAAGGTATCGTTGTTCCATCAGTACCATGCAGCTCCTACTAGGGCTACTAGGGCGGCTAGCCACCCCCCCCAACAAAAAAGATACGAAGAAACATTACGAGCGAGATACTTGCTCGTGCTGGGGCGGTGTTGGAAGACGCTCAAAAGATTGGAGGTCTATTTCCCATGGCAGTTAGCTGTGCGAGCGCAGCGTAGAGTTAGCACCGGAGCGTTTTATCGTGCAGCGATCTGTCAGCATCTGTCAGAACGGCACAAAAAGAAGTGTCAAAGCTGGCACCATGTTATGATTTTGCAATATATTCATGCGCTAGAACAGTTCGTGTCTGTGATGGGCACTTAGTACTATCTCGTTTCCCATGGTACACCGCGCTGACTTGCCGTCCTGGCATGAGCTCAGGCTCGAGGGGCACGCATAGCTGCAAAGGCCAGCTTTAAAAAACAACACCACTCTGGCGTCCTCAATAGCACAATAACAGCAGCAGCAGGAACAACAAGGATACTTATTAGCCAATTACACTTAGAAACAGCAGCAGCGAAGGCAGCAGCCACATTAAGAACGAAGGCACACGCACGCGCGCACGCACGCACGCACGCACGCACACGCACACGCACACGCACACGCACACGCACACGCACACGCACACGCACAAACACACACACACACACACACTTTTGCAGACAGAGACACACACACACACACATCTGTGTGTGTGTG